TTTAGGAACGCCTTTAGCATCAGTATTATGGTACTATACACCGATGCAAGTTAAAACTGATAATTCATTAATACCACCGGTATTTGAGCGTGAATTACTTGCTTCAAAACATATGGATATTATACCGCTTGATACGGTAGATGAAATTGTATGGGTGCTAACATATAATGAATATGGCCGGTAAGTTTTTTACGCTTACACGTGACACGTGAACTATTAGAGTGTTAACTTTTTACGTTATACAAGTGGAATGTGAATTACTAAAACGTTATGTTTTTTACGTTCTACATACGATACGTGAATTACCAAAATAGACGCATATTTTTACTATCAGTTGCTCAAATATTGTACGTATGTTTTTATATTTTGTAAAAAATTAAGTTCAAATTTTTTCCGGATTTAAAGATACTTCGTAATGATTCCGGTATGATTTTCTATCGCTTTTTCCTGATCTCTCTGATCCCACTATTGCATATCCGTATTGTAGTTTATTGATTTTTTAATTATTTTCATTAATAGGCTTTTTTTTTAATAAATTAAATAGACTATTTTTTAATTATTACTAATTTAATAACTCGATAACAATCATTAATTTGATAAATTTTTTAATTTTATTTACAAATTTAGGTTTATGGCCGAAACAAGAAATGATACATATCCAATTGCACAACGTGTAAGTGAGGAAAATTTATTATGGAAAAAAGGTGAAGATGATTATTCACGTCGAACGTATCTTCCACGTGATGATACACCACTTGAATTGGTAAAGTTAATCTATAATTAAGTAATTATCAATTTAGATTATCTTTCACTTAATAATATATCACTTGAAGTGATAAGTTAGTCGATAATTAAGTAATTGAGCAATTTAGATTTAAATTGTTTTTGAGACAGACATATCCTTCACGTAATGATACATCACTTGAATTAGTAAGTTAATCTATAATTAAATAATTATCAATTTAAATTCAGTTCAAAATTTTAATTCCAACAAATTTCATTTGTCATGATAATTCATTTTCAAATGAAAGTTCAATTGTGGCCATCATTTCCATATGAAAAATTTGAAGTTTTAGTTTAAATTTTCTTTTCTCATTTTTCTTTTTTGTTGTTTTTAATTTCATATTTATAGAATTTCGTTTATGAAATATGACATATTTATGTAATTTCATTTATGAAATATGACATATTTATGGAATTTCATTTGATCTTTGCTCCATTTCAGGTATATTTTTGTCGTCGCATCTATGATTGTAAGCAGCAAAAAATTGAAACAAAAAATTGGCGGAAAAAACAATCAAATGAAGCGTTCTCGTCGTCATCCATGGAAACATCGAACACGAAAACATCGCTGAAAAATTGATCTCTCTATCATTTCAGTGATTTTTTTTTCTTTTTTGTCTGTAAAATTATCATTTTC